CAGAGAGAGTATACTATGTCTTTGGAGGATTCGGTCTCTTTCCTCCTTGACACATTCTTTCCAAGGGACATAAGTTCAGAGGATAATGCCAATCAAATTGAGAATAGAAAGAAGGCGGAAGAGGATTATGTGGAAAGGGATGACCCTCCCTTTACAAAAGAGGAAATAAATGAAAGTATCAATAGTATTAAAGCTAACAAAGCTCCAGGAGAGGATGGAATAGTCATACAGATAATTAGGGCGATTTGGGAAACTTACCCAGAAGTACTAATAGAGGTATATAATCAATGTTTGAAATATGGAATATTGTTGTTATCGAAATGGAAAATGGCAAAAGTGCCATTTTCCATTTCGATAACAACAATATCGATGGAAAATGGCAAAAGTGGTGATTATTCCCAAGCCGGGAAGGAAGGATCTTTCTGACCATGGGAGTTTTAGGCCAATTAGTCTCCTGCCCATTATGGGTAAGGTGCTTGATGACTTAATGATAAGGCGCATAAATTGGTACATTTTCATGTACCAATTTATGCGCAAAGAAGGAAGAAGGATAAGTGAATTACAGTACGGGTTTAGAGCTCAGAGAGGAACAGAGGATGCCATCAATAAAGTAATAAAAGATGTTAAAGAAGTGCTTGAAATGACAAAGTATGCAGTTGCAATAAGTATGGATATAAGAGGTGCATTTGATAATGCATGGTGGCATTTTATATTATGGCAACTAAGAAGGAAAAGGTGTCCAAGGAATTTATATTTGCTGGCAAAAGATTATTTTAAAGATCGCACTGCTACTTATAATTTAAACTACAAGAAGATTGAGAAAGAATTGGAGAGAGGGTGCCCACAAGGGTCTAAGTCGGGCCCTGACTTTTCAGTTATTTATTTTGATGCAATAATAAAGAAAGTACAGAACACTGGAATAAGGTGTACAGCCTATGCAGATGATGATATAATAATTGTGGCTGGTCATTCACGCAGACATATAGAAAGTGAATGTAACAGGATCCTATCAGACTTTGATCAATAGGGTAAAGAAAACAAATTGGATTTTAATCCTGCGAAAACAAAAGCAATGATAATGGCAAGAGAATTTACGACGGCTTTCGAAAGAAGGCTCCCAATAATTAAGATGAGGAATGAAAATATTCAGATTGTAAAGAAAATAAAGTATTTGGGAGTTGTGATCGATAACAGGATTAGTTGGAATGAACATATAAAAGAGCTTAAAATTAGAAGCAATATTATCTTTAATAAGATGGCACAAGTTGCTAATGGTACTTGGGGCCTTAGGTCTTCAGCCATGGAAATTATTTATGATGGCATGTTCGTTCCAATTATGACATATGCAGCATCGGTATGGTGTGACAAGGTACAAAACTCTACACAAAATAAGCATCTAAGGCAAGCGCAAAGAGTAGCATTATTGAGATTAACAAGATGTTATAGGACAACCTCAACGGAGGGACTTCAGACTGGGACGAAATACTCGTCTTATGGTCATTAGGGGTGTTGTAAAGGAGTAGTTGAACCGAGATGCAACACTGGAATTTCCGGTGGAGCATCCATTAAACTTTATAAACTTTTTCATGTAATTCTTGTAATATAGAATAAGGATTATAAACAAACCCCGTTGTGCAACAGCGGTGCGGGGTGTTCTGATCCCTAGTAAGGGAAATGTTGATCCCCAAATGAAAAAAAAAATATATATATATATATATTTAATTATTTTATTCGTTGCTATTTTTATTTTGAATTGACAAATCTGGATTGAAAATGCCTTTTACTTTTAATAGAAATATTTGACTTAAAAATTGGGTGTTTTATTATCGATTTTAAGTTACCGAATTAATCGAACAGCAACGAATATCCAGTTTTATTCCCCGATTGTTATTCTGTCGAGCAATCGGGGTCAGTTTCTGGAAAACAAAAAACTACCACAAAATGGGTGTCGCCTTGACGTGGCTTTGTGGCTTAACGTGTGAAAATGTTATCGAAG